AGAAAATCGGTGCGTGGAAATTCGGCGCGTGGAAATTCGGCGCGTAGAAATTCAGAGCGTGGAAATTCGGCGCGTAGAAATTCGGTGCGTGGAAATTCGGCGCGTAGAAATTCGGTGCGTGGAAATTCGGCGCGTAGAAATTCGGTGCGTGGAAATTCGGCGCGTAGAAATTCGGTGCGTGGAAATTCGGCGCGTAGAAATTCGGTGCGTGGAAATTCGAAATTCGGCGCGTAGAAATTCGATGCGTGAAAATTCGGCGCGTAGAGATTCGGCGCGTGGAAATTCGGCGCGTGGATACAAGGTAATGAGTGGATACAGTAGGTCAGATTGAGAAACAAGAGGAACGTAGTCAATGGACTAGGGTTCATCTTGTAACGGGTGCAGATAGATGGCAGGTCAGAGGTATTTATCGTCTTACCGGGTCTCAGTTGACCTTCGATGTCGGCCGTGCTCCCCTCCTTGACCTTCTCGATGACGGCGCCCATGGAGCCATCTTCCAACAGTTTCCCGCCGACGACTTTGAGCCCGAGTATGCTACTACTGCTTCCGGAACCGTGTTGCTTCCGCAACACCATGTGGCCAATGATCTTCTGGCCGTCTCTGCTCATTTGCCAGGATAACGGATGCTACGAAGCGCGGAGAACGGGTTTTGGTTTTTCCTTTCAACGTCAGACTCTCGGTCGCGTTCTTGTGATATGAGAAAGGGGGGCAAGGGAGAACGCGTGTGCGCGCTCGAAAATTGGAAAACTCCTTTCCAAATTTCGAACGCGATCGAATCGATCGCTATAATGGTGGTAATTCGTGAACGGACTTGTGAACGTTGATGATATCAAGCTGACGTTCCTGGATGACTATCCTGCGCTGCGTCCCCGCGCAAATCGTACGATAATCGATCGGACACGAACAAAAACTTGCAGCTTATTGATTTTGTTATCAGTCGCAAGATATTCGGCTCGCAGGAAATTCTGATGAAAGAGAAGCTGAAGAGAGTGGTCTTTCTGGCGACGTGATGCACATACGAGAGGATACTTGAAAATTCGCTACGATAAGGCCGGTGAAAAAGCTGCGATTTTGGGAACATTTATCAAAACGTCCAAACGTCAAAAATTTTAAACGATGTTTCTCCATGAGCTCTGTTAATGAACCGACAATTGACCAGGGAAATTAAAAATTAATATTCTATTTCACCGATGAAAATATTTCATTCCGAATTGCTCTGCTTGCATTCATATAAATTAAAACCTTATTTATTTCAACGAATACACGTTCCCAAAATTCGGTAACTTTGTTCACCGCCATGCAGGATAAAAACCTGATGGTTCAGATATCCTCTCGCCGAAAGTGTTCATGGTGTGGATCTACATGTTCCAAGGCGCATGTATGGTAAAACGATCAAGCTTGACACCAGGAAGAAAGCACGCTATCGTACATACTACACTATGTATGCGTGTCTAAACGGTATGAACAGATCACTAGATACACATGCTTCACCCATGCTTTATCGACGAGCATACGAGCAGAAAAGCGGCAATCAGTCCCTTCGAACGTCCTATGTTCGAGGTCCTCAAGGTATCCAGGCATGCAACAGCGACGTGATCGAATCGCGTCAAAGAAAAACCGTGAAAGTGAAGCTTCTCTGTCGAAGAGCGACTCGATTCATCTGGTGGATCTACTTTAGGGAGAGGGGTCGCCTCCTTCCGGTTTACCAGTCGTGTCGTTCTGACCGAGTCTTTCGATGCCGCTCCGAGATTTTTATCCTTACGCTACCATTTCTGCGATCCTATGATAAGTACTTAATCTCGGTGTAATTGGCTGCTTCGAACAATTAACACATTTTTACGACCTCTCCTAGATAGATATAAATTAAATGTTTTACTAACGAAGTTTAACGAACCACCCAAAGTTGAGAACGCTCGTTAAATCTGGAATTCTCTGTTATACGGTTGAATACGATCTTTTTCTTCTGTGATAATCCTTTGCTGAAAACGCTAAAGGGTGAACTGGCAGAGGAATGACACTTATTCTGTATCTGACGAAAAAATTTGGAAGTTGTCTAATTTTCAAATTTCCATGTTTTTGAAGTACGGTGGATAGTCGAAAGGTGCACTCGTCACGAGATGTGCTCTGAGTAATAAAATTGCCAAGTGTTTCTGTAGGTAATTCCGTAGGTACAAAGTAACGAGTGGATACAGTAGGTCAGATTGAGAAACAAGGGGAACCTAGTCAATGGACTAGGGTCCATTGGTCAGCGCGTAGAAATTCGGCGCGTGGAAATTCGGCGCGTGGAAATTCGGGGCGTGGAAATTCGGCGCGTGGAAATTCGACGCGTAGAAATTCAGGGCGTGGAAATTCGGCGCGTGGAAATTCGACGCGCAGAAATTCAGGGCGTGGAAATTCGGCGCGTGGAAATTCGGTGCGTGGAAATTCGACGCGTAGAAATTCGGCGCGTGAAAATTCGG